GGGCTGGAAGCACGTCCTCGCCTCCTTGGCCCAGAAAGCTGCCCTGGAGCGGTGCGCTTGGGGCTTGGGTGCGCATTGCTGGGAACAATCGCCTCCGCTCTTGTGGGGTGGTGAGCGGAGCTGCTGACGCAGAGCTGCCGCCCCCTCGATGTTCCCCTCACCCCCACCCCCACCCCGTTTGTGCCTCGCCTTGCCCTGGGACAAGCAGTTCCCACTCCTGAGCGGGGACTGCCCCGAAAGAGGTCTCTGCTACCCGGCCCGTGCCGCCCGGGACGAGGGGCCCCTGGGGAGCGGGTAAGGCCAGAAGAGAGGCCCCCTGCACACTCTGGCAGCACCCTTCCACCCGCCCTCCGGGCAGCCGGCTGCCCTGTTCCCCTGCCAGCACTGCCGCAGCTGCATTCCTGGCATAGCCGGGAGCCTCCCGCCCTCTGCCTCCTGGTGGGGCAGGGAGGGGGATGCAGGGCCAGCTCACCCTGACTGCTGTGCGCCTCCTGTGGCTTGGCTTGTGGCCCCAGGTCTCTGCGTTCATCCCAGCCTCTCCCCCCAACACACGTCCCCCAACAAGCGCACTCCAGAGCTGTGTCTGGGCGGGTCCTCACCCTCATCTGTGTGGTCTGGCTTTAGCTGGCTGCACTGAGTCGGTCAGCCACACTCTCCGACCATCCGGTTCCACTGCTGTAGAAGGAGGATTTGCTATTGTGAGGGGGGCAGTGGAAGCCCCCACACTCCTGGGCTGGTCCCCCCTCCTGTCCCTCACCCAACCTTCTTCTGAGGCCGGGAGACTTTTGCTGACACCTTCCCTGTGCCCCCTGAACCTCAGGAAGTAGGGGGTGGGAAGGGGCCAGGAGCAGGTCCAGCTCTGGAGGAAGAGAGCCGTGTGTGTGTGTGTGTTCGCGTGTGCATGTGCATGTGTGTGTGAAGTGGCCAAGCTGTCCTGGCCAGGTAGAGCAGGAAGTGACATTTATCCAGAGTCCCTTCCCACCTCACTGGGCCCGAGCGGTCATCTCTTTCGTGTCTTGCTGTCGTCGCTTCTGGGCTAGTTGCATGTTGGAAATGACCAGCGAGTGAGGGGTATTGAGTGTATTCCAACACCCACCTCAGACGCTCGCCAGTGAGCAGGACAGCTGCCGCTGCTGACGAGTGCTCAGTCGTATCTGACTCTTCCCGACCCCACGGACTGTAGCCCGCCAGGCTCCTCTGTCCATGGGACCCTCCAGGCAAAAATACTGGAGTGGGTTGCCATGCCCTCCTCCAGGGGATCTTCCCATCCCAGGGATCGAACCTGTGTCTCTTATGTCTCCTGCATTGGCAGGCAGGTTCTTTACCGTAAGCGCCACCTGGGAAGCCCCAGTGAGCAGGACTGGAAGAGAACTGAGAAGACACACTTACGTCTCTTAGGAGATTCTGCGGAGGATGCTAAGGGCTGGGGGAGGCGGGAAGGGAGGCTCCTGCTATGGACCAACCAGCCCCATCTCAAGAGTCACCTAACCCCTCTGGGCCTCAGAGTCCTTGTTCTCAAAGTGGGGAGGAAGTCAGCCAACCTCAACTTCTATGCTTAAGGTGGAAGGGTCGCTTTCCTTCCCGTTAGGGCTGGAATCCCTGCTTTTTGCTCACCCAGATGTTTCTCCCTGGGTCTCAGCTGATTTAAGCTTACAAATCCCATGCTGTTTTCTGCCTGCTTCACAAAATAAAGGGAAAACAGGAAAATTTTGCCCAAACTGCTTCTTGGCTAAGAAAGAGGTCTACGTGTTCGCAGTGCTGTGCCACAGCTGGAAATTTTCTTGTCTAAGGTAGCTGAGTCTGAATTAAGTGTTGTGTGTATGCAAAAGTGGAACACATAAAAACCAGTAGTTTCACTCAAGATAGGTGGTAGCAACTAAGAAAAATACAAAAAAAAAAAGGCATCGCTAAGATGAGCAGATAATCTAGAATATTTTTAATACTTGATCAATGCAAACAAGTCAAGAAGTGAAGAACAGAGCACTAGCAAGACAACATTAGAGGTAAATGGACTGAATACTCCAGTTAGAGTGGGGGCTTCCCTGGCGGTCCAGAGGTTAAGACTCCCCACTTACAGTCCGACGGGTGCGGGTTCCATCCCTGGTCAGGGAACTAAGATCCCACATGCCGTGCAGCAGGACCAAAAAAAATTAAAGATAAAAATGCAGAGAGTGACTGGATGGAAAAGTCAGACTCGACTATACACTGTCTGCAAAGGATGCACTTCAAATGTGAGACGTGAGCAAGGTGAAAGGGAAAGGGTGGGCAAGGTAGATCATGCAGACAGTAAGCATGAGGAAGCTTCTACGAGAGTCAAATGAAACAGACTCAGGACAAGAAGTCCTACCAGAGCCTGTATTTCCCAGTGATAAAGGGGCCAATTCATCAAAATGTCTTCACTGAGCGGTCTTTGGCAAGTTACTCCGCTCCCATTTCCCCATCTGCATGACAGCAATGATACCGCACCTGCCTGGTTAGGGGTCTGGTGGGGATCAGAGGGCCGAGCTCCCGTGAAGGACCCAGAGCCACGCTCAGCACATAACCAGGGCACTGTGACTCTCCACCCTCGGTGTTGGCCCAACAGGGACAAAGCCTCGCGCTCTTGCTGTGCTCCTGACCCAGCTGCTCTGAGGTGGGGTTCTGTGGTCTGTTGCAAGATAAGATGTAAACACTGGCCACTAGCTGGTTCCTCCAGTTCTCTGCTGGTATGTGTAAGGGAGACACAGAATGTGTGTGTGTGTGTGTCTGACAAGAGGCAGAGGAATGGCAGGAATGAGTCAGCCTGCGCCCAGTGATCTGTTTGCTAGACCCAAGGCATGAAGTCAAGGAGGCGTGAGACTGGGGCCAGGAGGAGTGTCACGGCCGGCAGGGTTTGGACGGTCGCCTGGTGTAACTGGTGCTGCGTGGGATGGCTCTGGGCTGCCCTGGATCATCTTCCAGCCTGAGAGGCGTGAAGGCCGTCAGCACCTGGGACCTGCCAGCATCATGTGGCCAGAACCACGGCATCTTTGGGCCTGTCCCCCAGGATCAGGCACACAGAGAATGCTTGGGGACCTCCCCCACTTGCCCCGAGACCCTCTGCCCCTGCTCCAAGGCTGTCATGGCAGGGCGGGGACCCTTGCTGGGCCCAGGCCAGCTGTGTGGAGGCCTGTGCAGGGAGCAGGTTCCAGCTGGGGCTGTGGGAAGGTAGGCTTGTGGATTCCAGTTGGCACTTCCTCCCTGGCTTCCCTGGTCGTCCTCCACACGTATCCACATCCGCTCTCTCCGCTCCTTTCCGGACACCGCCTCCCTTCTCACTCGCGGGGGCAGCCTGACTCCCTGCACTAGAGGTTCACTGAACCCCTGTGCACCAGACATGGGGTGCATGGACCCCTCTCTCCTATCATGCGTGGGGGGTCCAGGCACACCTGGCTTCCCAGACACGTGAGCCGAGAGGTTCTGAGAGGTAGACGCTTGCCCAGGATCCCACGGCTGATAAACGGCAGGGTCGGGCTTTGAAGGGGGTTGCCTGACTACAAGGTTCTTTTTTTGTTTTTTTGTTTTTTTTACTGATTTTGTTCTAGATTAATCTTCACTACACTGACTCATCAGAAATCTTCAAGGGCTGCTCATTGCCCAGAGCTGTGACCTCCATACTTTTTTGATCTTGCGTCCGTATAAGTAAAACATTTTGAGCATATTCTTCATTATATGTCCATTTTAATTATCCACAAGTTATTTGCATGAACTTATGTATTCTTGTATTATGTACATTAGAAAGCATTCAAATATGGTTTATATATGAGAGAAATATATCAAAAGCAGTCTCTAATATTTTCTCCCCACCCCTGGGAATCAGCCTGTGAATACCTCTGGGGTACATATCCATCCTCACCTTGGGGACAGCTGACCTGGAGGATGAAGTGACAACCCCTGGGCCTGATACTGGGTGTTCTGTCATCTAAAGCCCTCAGCAGATTTCGTTCTACTGCCCCACAGATCAAAGTCAAGGAACCAAACGGGCCCCAGTCATTCTCAACTTCACCTTGATGCCCATGTTCCCTGCCCATCTCCATTTCCCTCTCCCTCTTGCTAAGTCTTCCCTACTGTATGAGCCCCAACCCCAACCCCAGTTTCTGTGCAAAGCCCTCCTCTCCCACCCTAGACTCAGACATTTGTACCAATCATTCACCTCTGAACCTCAGCCTGCCTACATCACCATTAAATTATCTTGCCTGGCTTGTCTCACCTTGCTGAGTACTTTATGCAAGTGCTATTATTATTACTGCCATTTGGTAGCTAGGGAAACTGAGGCTCAGAGAAGTTAAGTAATTTCCTCCGAGTCACACAGGAAGTGATGGCACCTGACTCTAGAGTCTGAACTCTGCCTCAGCACTAAGCTATGTAAAGCAAAGATGATCTTTTATGTTGTTGTTTATTTTTCCCAGCAACTGACACATATATCAAGCAAAGTGCTGAATGAACGATTGTTTGAATGTATGAATGAATGAATTGCATAGGCCACGGCTAAGAAGAAAGGCCTTGGTGGAGGAGAAAGGGCCTCCTTGATTCCTCCTACAGAATGTACTGATTCCTGTACTTAAAGAATCCTGGTTAAGACTTCGAGCTTCAGGCATACAGTGCTGAATCTGGGCACTCAGATGTCATCAACAGAATTTGGTGTCTCCAGCTCCTGGCTGGACCATCCTCTGTGTTGACTTAGTCCTCAGACAGGCTCCCCTGGCAACTCCAGGGTCATGCCCCACCAACCTAGCCATCCCAGCAAGAGGAAAGGGTGTCTGATGGCTCACTGCACCAGCTTAGGCCATGGGCCTGTCCTGGATCCCATTTCTGTGGCCCAAGGGTTGGGACGAACTGTTGATTCCTGATCTCTGCAGTAGGGAGGGTGGGTCGCTCCATACGGACCATGGGAGTCGAGGTAGAGCTGGGGATGGGATGCTGTAACCAGGAGAACAAAGAGGTGTGAATCTCAAGTGTTCGCTTGGCTTTGTCTCTTGAAGGACCTGGTGGACTGGCAGAAGCCCCTCCTGTGGCAGGTCGGCCACTTGGGAGAGAAGTACGATGAGTGGGTCCACCAGCCGGTATCCAGGCCCATCCGCCTCTTCCACTCAGATTTTGTCGAGGCCCTCAGCAAGACCGTCTGGTGAGTCCTGCTCTGGGGTCATGGTGGGCTGTCCCCTCTCCTGATGCTGCCAGCCAGATGTAAAGGGGAAGGGTCCCTCCCTGGAGCCCAGAGCTGTACTGAAGCTCTTGGAGACAGTGGAACATGCCATGGGCATAATCTATTCCTGTGCGTGGTTTTTTCCACCGAGTGGCAACCCAGCATGTAGCCAGAAACTGCTTTGAATGTCCCTACTTCACTTTCACTTTTCACTTTCACACATTGGAGAAGGAAATGGCAGCCCACTTCGGTGTTCTTGCCTGGAGAATCCCAGGGATGGGGGAGCCTGGTGGGCTGCCGTCTATGGGATCACACAGAGTCGGACACGACTGAAGTGACTTAGCAGCAGCAGCCTGTTCTGTTCCTGACTCCTATGAGGCGTTTTTAGCCTCTGCTGCCCTTGGGGGGCTATTTTGCCTGCAATTACCTCCTCTGCCACGAGAGGTCAGCACCTATACAACTGCACTGTCAGTGGCCACAGGGATTCTTTTCGTGCTCCGTCCCGGTCACTGGGAGACTTGAGGGAGATGGACTCACAGCTGCTCTCTTCTTCCCCACCCCTGCAGCAGTGTCCCTTGACCGCAGGTCTCCGTGTGCTCTTTGCACCTGCTTTAGTACCTTCTCGCCCCCCTCGAGTGGAGAGGAGTCTCTTGGGAAGCTGGGCCGTCTCAAGCTGAGCCTGTCTCTGTCACCCTGATGGTCTTCCTGCAGGTACAGCGTCCCCATCGTCTGGGTCCCCCTGGTCCTCTACTTCAGTTGGTCCTACTACGGCGCCTTCGCCCAGGGCAACGTCCCGCTCTTGGCACCCTTCGCCACAGGTGATGTCTGGTCTTCCTGCTCTGCAGTTTCCATGGCTCCTGGGGGTGGGGGACCTTGGTGCTCTCCCTGCTCCTGAGTTTCTGAGATCTCAGAACCCTAAACCACATCACAAGCATTTTAAAATGAGGTCTATCTGTAGAAACACTCTTCCAAAAGAAAGGTCAGACTTCCCCACCCTCCAGAAGAGGAACTAAAAAAAATAAATAAATAAACGGCCACACATTAAATTAAATCATTTCATCAAGTGGTATAGCAATAAAGAAGGGGATTTCCACTGAGTCGAAGAATACAAAAAGTATGACCTGGGGTTGTTTGTCGGGAAACTAAATGAAGTCATTTCACCAGGTAGGACAACAGAGCTGAAACACGAACAAAGCAGAGATTAGAACCTAGAGGACAAAGATTAGAAACAAAGATCAGATCGTAGGTGACCTAGAGTGTTTCCCGGGCAAAGGCCCATCAGCTGAAGCCTGACTCGGAGTCACCCCAGTAACCTCTGCTGAGCAGTCATCACATGCCTGGGACTTTCCAGGGACCATGTCATTTAACACTCCCAACAGCCCACAAGCAAGGGACTTGTCATTACACCTTTTTAGAGATAAGAGGGTTAAGCAAGCAGGTCAGGGTTGCGTGGCTAGGATGTAGCTGCCAGGCGCCACCAGGCAGGCAGGGGACAGAGAGAGGAGCCTGTGAGGCTGAGTCTCAGGGCGGCACTGTGTGGGCATGGCGTCTGCTGCCAGCCTGCCTCCCCAGTTCATCACCCACCTCGGGCCTCCAGGTCCGACCACCTGCCCGGGTAACCTGCCCATCCTGGCGCAGTCCGCCTTGGGAGAGTGCTCGCCCATGGTGAGTGGCTCAGACAGAAGCCAGGTAGGGGGGACAGGTGGAAGAGGGTGCTGAGGATGGCTCAGGAGGGCTCTCCTCTCCTGATCACACGTTGCGTTCCTGTGAGCCTCTGAACCCCTGTGTGCCCAAATGCAAGCTCCTTCTCTCCACACTCCGGGGCTCTCTCCTGCCCATCTCCTCCAGGAGGACAAGTTGAGGGCTGAATGGTTTAGATGAGAGAGGTCATGGCCACAGTGCAGGGAGCCCGTTTTCCCACCTGGTCCAGAATGGGGTGAGGCTGAGCCAGTTGCAGAAAGTCCCCCAGAGCTAAGGCTGCTCCCAGACACCAAGGGTTAATGTGTGCGCCCCTCAAGCCAAGGTTACCCACTTCTGCCCACGCTGAATAGCTCAGGCACAGCACAGGCCTTGTTGCTCAGACGGCCTGCTCACTGAATCGCCCACTGTTTCTGCCCAGCGCTCCCCGAACAATCGCCAACAGTGGCGGGGCCGACAGGGCTGGGGCCAGAGGGAGAAGGGGACGCCGGAGCTTTGGCCCAGGTCCCTCTGCAGGAGTCCTCCGGAGATGCCACTTGGTACCAGCTCCGGCCTGATGGGCTGACAGGGGTGGTGCTGGGGTGAGGGGGCGGGCAGAGCCTTGACCTATAGGAGGCGACTCTGGTGCGAGGCCGGGCAGGTGATTTGATGGCACTGCAGAGAGCTGAAATGTGCTGTCTAATAAAGATCCAGTGTAGGGGTTAGTGGGCCTGTGACCAGGATGCCAACGATGGTGGCGAGAGAGCCGCACATGCCTCCCTCACCCCTGACTCACTGGGCAAGGCCCAGGGCCAGGCAGGGAAAACAGCCAGGAAGTGAGGCGTGCGGAGGCTCAGCAGGGTCCTGGTGCAGCTCCGGGACGAGAGATGCGCTGTAGGAAATGCAGGAACTCAGGGTGCCAAGGAGCAGTGGAAGCTGTGCGGAGGCAGCAGTTCAAGGCTGAAAGTCGCAGGTGCACGTGTGTGAAAATGCTTTGGGAAGCAGAGAGGGTCTTCACCTCCTGGCTGGCCCCCAGACAGTTCCTGGAGGTGCGTTAGAGTGGGTGCCAAGCGGCATCCTAGGCAGGGATTGTGGTGGGAGCCCCAGCAAAGGTCAAGACCGCAGTCTGTGGCCAGGGAATGCTTTTGTATGTCCAGTCCTTTCCCTGCTGAGAAGTGAGTTACACAGCAAGGAAGGGCTCTTGCACTTTAGGAAGGAAACTCCTTCTCCCCCAACCAGGGACCCTCCAGAGCCCTGCAAGGAGAATCGAGAAAATGCAGCCCAGGGAGGACTGTGGCTGGACATATTTTGACAGATGATATTTAAAGATCATAGCAGCGACCTGTAACATGTGAAAAGTGTTATTTACTATCATGTGTCCATATACAGTATATTATTCTTACATATAAGTGAAGTGAGAGTGAAGACGCTCAGTCATGGCTGACTCTTTGCGACCCCCTGGACGGTAGCCCACCGGGGTCCTCCGAGATACATACTTATCACACAGCCATGTATTATATTCCCGGGGTTCTAGCAACAGCCCTTCACAGCTGGTAGGATATTTTACTGTTGAGAAAACACATGGATAGTACAGGACGGAGACCAGAATCCTGCACTTCGGCAGGGTGTCCCGAGGACCCTAGAGGTGGCTGCCATCCCTCAGAGTGGGGGGCCTGGTCAGCCAGAGCCGCCCAGCCAAGGCAAGTGTCAGGCCCAGGTGTGGACACCGCAGGCCCTGCTGACGAAAGACATCAGAGCAGCTTCACACCCGACTTGAGAGAGATGGGTCCTTGGCGGGTTGAATCTTGGCCGTGTTACATGTTAGTTTCCAGGTGAGGCATGGAGAATCCTTCCTTAGTTTAGAGACTCACTTGGAATCCTTTGTCATAATGGCCCGGAATCTGGTGCAGAGAGCTGGAAAGTCACCTCTCCTCCCCGCCACCTTCCTGGGCTCTCTCCTGCAGTGACTCCCTGTGGCCATTCACCCTGGGCACAGCCCTTCAGAAGTGCTTCCTTAAGCAGAACCAGAGGCTGCCTTTGGAACAGCACAGGTCAAGTCTTATCCATGTCCAGCCCTCCAGAGAGGCGTGGGTTGGCCCGTGAGTCTCGCACAAGGGTCTGAGCACCTGCTGTGTTAACGGCACAGGAGATAGCAGACGGGACACCCACTCTGCCCGTGACATGCTCATAACCTGGTGGGGGCAAACGAGTGAGACAGAGCCACAGTTCAGCATGATGAAAGGATGATGTGAAAGGCCTGGCCCAGACCCTGCCCAGGTCGGGGCAGAGGGCATCTACAGCGGTTTCTTACCGGAGGAAGGGAGGGAGGGGATTCCAGTGAAGGAAAGATGTGTGGGGAGGGGAGGGGAGCGTGGGGCCCCCAGGGGTCCCACATGGTTCAGTGGGCCCCAGACAGGGTGGCGGGGAGATGAGGCAGGGATGTGCCTGGCAGGGCTGGGTCTCAAGGGACCCTGAGTCCCAGGCTGGGGGGCTGGACTTCACTTGAGGAGAACGAGGCCCCAGAAGAGGGTTTTAGCAGCACGCAGGGGCAGAGAGTTGGAGCAGGAAGCTGCTGTGGGTGCTGATTAGGTCATGGGGGAGTGAGAGCGGTGAGCTGACCCAGGAGACTTTTAACTGAGATGAGATACACACAGAATTAACCATTTTGCAGTGAACGATTCAGTCCGCCACTCTGTCTAGTTCCAAAATGTTTTCTTCACCCCAGAAGGAACCCCATCCCTGTGAGCAGCGGCTCCCCATTCCCCGTCCTCCAGCCCTGACAACCACCGACCTGCTTCTGTGCACACTTGCGTTTTCAGGGCACGCCATGTAAATGGGCTGCTACATAGGTGGTCTTTTGTGTCTGGCTTTTTTTTTTTTTTTAATAACTTTATCTATCAAAAGATATTAAGGAGAGGGAGCTGACAGTGCTTGGTGACCCAGGTTGGACACGGGAGAGAGGAGTAAGTCAAGGCTTTGGTAAGGCGTGGAAGTCAATAACCTCCCCCTCAGGTGAGGTTGCGTGGGAAGGAAGAAGGGGATGATTAGCTTCATTTGGAAGCTGCTGATGTTGGAGGTGGGGCTGTGCACAGCTTCATGGAGATGCCCAGTAGCAAGTGGCTATCCAAGGCTGGGCTGGAGACACAGATCTGGGGGTTGTCAACAGGTGGGTGTGACTGACGTCCTAGATCAAACGGAGGGCATCTGAGAAGGGAAGGTCAAGGTTTTGACCCTGGAGACAGAGGCAGTTTCCACAGTGGAGCCTGACAGAGGGCCTCTAGAGAAGCGGCGAGGGCATTCCCTGCAGGCCCAGTGGTTGGGACTCTGCTGGCTCACTGCCGAAGGCCCAGGTTCAATCCCTAGTTGAGGAACTGAAAATCCCACAAGCCCCGTGGCAGGAAAAAAGAAAGAAAGAAAGAAAAGGAAGAGGTATAAAAGGTGAGAGGAGGAGAGCCAAGTATTCCAGCGGCAGGGAGTGGAGCTCTGTGCTCGGTCGTTTTGGTCCCAGGTGCTCTGAGAGTCTGAAAAGCTGTGGATCTGCCCCAGAAAGATGCACACAGGTGCACTGTTTGGCAACAGGTTCACTCTGAAATCCAGCCAAGGACTCTCTGGGCGTTCCTAAACCTCAGGTTGGGAACTTATGTGCTTACAGATTCAAAAATAGAGTGGTCACCAGTGTCATATGCCACAGCCAATTTTAGAGATGAATTGAAAAAACTACTTCAATCTGCCAAGAAACACATCACAAATGGCTTTCACAGTTTTTTGAAGAAGACAGACTTTAGGGGCTTCAGCGAATGGAAGGAGGTGAAGTAGACTTAAGTCTAACTGACTTTTTCAGGGGTTTGGCTGTGAAGGGACTGCGTCTATGATGAGAAAGCCTTAAATATGAGCACAAGAGCAGTGGGGGAGAAGTTGAAGGTGCCCAGAGGAGTTTGTGGGATGAAGGGGGTGGAGGGGGGCAGACTGAGGGTGAGCTGGTCAGTGATGTAAGTTGTCTGTACTTCCACACCCTCAGTGACAAGGGCAATGCCAGCACTTCCTTCATCAAGTTGGAGTGAGACGAACATAAAGTGTAAAGCACTTGAGTGGCGCCAGGCGTGTAGGGGCTGGTGAATGCACATTTGCTGCTGCTGCTGCTATTGTTATTGCCTTCACCACCATCCAGTGCCCAGGCACCTTGAGTGCACGCTTCTTCTCTGAGGAGCACGAAGTTACAGGGTTGAAGCACAATCAAGGGTGGTTGAAGGTGGACGGTTATGAAGCAGCCATTCTCCTCCTTCCACTCTTCTACCCCAAGGAGTCTTTTTCCTGTGAAGTAGGAAGCTGGACGGAAGGGAAAGGGGGTGTCTGCGGGCAGTGAGGAGGGAGCTGAGCCTGCAGACATGAAAGGAGCTCCAGGCAGTGTTTGAGGCCTCGCTGAGGTTGAAGGCACCAGACTCATGGCTACACATGGCTCCTCCTCCATCTTCAGCCGCTTGGGTGTGGGGTGCAGAGACAGGCTTTTGTGCTCATCCAAGCTTGGGAGGTCATGGGGGCAGCTGAGGTCAAGAGAATGGTTAGCTTTAGAAAACAGTTTGGTGGTGCCCCCAAAGTGAAACATAGTTGCAATAAGGTCCCAGAAATTCTACTCCCAGGCCTATACCCAAGACAAGAAAAAACACACCTGTTCATAGCAGCATTATTCAGAATAGCCAGAAAAAACAGAAACCACCCAGCTGTCTATCAGCTGGTAAGTGGATAAACAATTATGGTGCATCCATATTAACCAGGGATGAAGTTCTCACATGCTACAAAATGGATGAACCTTAAAAATATTGTAAACAAAAGAAGCCAGTCACAAAAGACCACACATTGTATGATTCCATTGGTATGACATGTCCAGAATCAGAAAATACAATAGACAGAAAGTAAATTAGAGGCTTCCTGGCTCTGGGAAATGACAAAGGTTGGAATGACTACTAATGGGTAAAGGGTTTCTTTCTGGGGTGATGAAAAGGCTCTAAAATTATGGTGATGGTTGTACAACTGCAGATATACCAAATATCACTGAACTGTACACTTTAAATGGGCGAATTGTAAGATATGTGAGTTATATTTCAGTAAAGCTGCCACTTTTTAAAAGAGAGAGAATGTATAACCAAAGCAGTGGCTAGTGGAGAAAAGAAGTAAAACTTAGAGGGTGAGGGTAGACCTGAAGAAAACAGTGAGAGCTGAAGTCCCTGTGAAGTTAGAGAATCAGTGAAGTGGAGAAAAGAAACGAGGGCTGGGAGGACTGCAGGCCAGGGCTGGGCGCGGGGGCCTCGCACTTGATGACAACAACGTCACTCCAGTCTTCTGGTCTCCAGGCTAATGATCTTCTGTTTTTCCACATCTCCCTCCCTCATATGCTGTGGTTTCAGATGTTCTCAATGAACCTCTCTCTCCTCGGGTTTTCCTGACCCTCTTGGCCCCCGGTCCCTCATTGTTAACATCTTCTAACAACAGCCCCCAGATCTGCTGGCTTCATCAGGATCACCCCTCCCTCTCCTCCAGGCCACTGAGGCAAGGTCACTCTTTCCTGGTGTCAGTCCCTTTGGGCTGCTGAAACAAAATAGCACAGACTAGGTGGCTTGTAAACAACAGAAATTGATAGCTTATGATTCTAGAGGCTGGAAGTCTGAGATCAGGGTGCCAGCATAGTCAGGCGAGAGCCCTCTTCTAGGTCAAAGATTCCTTGTATACTCATTTGTCAAAAAGGGGAGGATTCTCTCGAGCCTCTTTTATGAGGGAGTTAGTCTTACTCACCTGATGACCTAAGCACCTCTCATCACCTTGGAGGTCAGGTTTCAGCATATGAATTTGAGAGAACACACTCAGACCGTAGCACCACCAGAGGTCCACCACTGGCCATAGCTGTTCCTCTTATGGTCCCTTTAAGGAAGATCTCAGATCTCTAGTCAAATCTTACCGTCATACCAAAATCAGACAAAAATACCACAAGAAAGAAAACTCCAGACCAGTATCACTCATGGATCCAGATGCAACAGTCGTCAACAGAATACCAGAAGACTGAGTCCTAGAACATATTAAAGCATTATGCACCATGACAGAATGGGATTTACTCCTGGAATGCAAGGGTGGTTCAATACCTGCAATCGATGTGATCCACCACACTGGTCGTCCTCCGAGAGGACTCCTCCTAAATAAGCCCACACGCATCCTCACCGTCTCCTTCTTGCTTTGACTCTCAGGCCCCGGTGGTGGGGTTGGGCCCCACAGCTGCGGAGCCGAGGGCAGCAGCCCCCAAGGTGACGGGGCTGGGCCTCTGGAGCCCCCAGCCCCTGACCTCCCTCTGTCGCGCCCAATGCAGAGTACTCAGTGGCCATGCCCGAGTCTGCGTTCCCGGGCCTCTTCCTGCTGGGGCTGTTGGTCTGGAGTCTCCTGGAGTACCTCATCCATCGCTTCCTGTTCCACATGAAGCCGCCCAGCAACAGCGCTTACCTCATCATGCTGCACTTCGCCATGCACGGCCAGCACCACAAGGTGAGCGGCGCAGCGCCCCCAGGCCATGCTGCTGACGCCCGCCCTCAGGAGCGCCCATCTCGCTGCGCGGTGGGTTGAGGGCGAGAGGTCCAGGGCGTGTGATTGGGTCCAAGCCTGAACCAGCTGTGGCCAGAGTGAGCGTGCACGTCCGATGCTAATCCTCACAACAGCTCATTCATTTGCTCATTCAACAAATGCTCACTGAGCGCTCACTATGGGCCATGTGCTGTTCTGGACACCATCCATCAAAACAGGCAAGAATCACGGACCTTGTGGAGCTTCCCTCTGAAGCGGGTGCTGCCGTTCTCCCCGTTCCACAGAGTGGCAGACTGAGGCGTGGGGAAATAAAGGAACTAAGGCACTCACCCAAGGTCACCCTAGGATGTCGTCCCCTGTGGACGCCACAGTCTGTGCTGTCGGTCATCCACCCACCCTGGGGCTCCTTCGGGCCGACACACGAGGGTCCCGGCAGTCGGCACTGGAGGCCAGGTCCGCCCAGAGGATGGCCCTGCCCCGCGCTCTTCTCGTCCTGCCGCAGGGTTCCCACCCTCCCCCTTGCCCTCCTTCCGCTTTGACCAGGAGCCGGTTCAGGCCCGGAGCCACGCAGATCCTTTTGCTCCGGGCGGAGGGGCAGGGGCCCACATCCGTGTGGTGCCCTGTCTCGGTCACCTGGTCCCTCTCTCTCCTCTCTCAGTCCAGAGAGGGTCTCGGAATACTTGCACAGTCTCTAAACTTTACCTCTGCCAGGCCCTTGGCTTCTGAAGCCTCAGGACCAAAGGCTGGGCTCTTTCGTGGTCTGGTTCCATGCGACAGCACCTCCTTGGGGCAAAGAAGGCCAGCTGGGGGGGGTCCTTCCTGTTAAGAGCTCCAGGATCACCCCGTGTGCCTTCATCACCCGCAGGCCTCGGGCTAGGGGCCCTGCGTGGTACTCGGGGTGGGGTGAGGGCTCCTGTCCACACCTAGCAAGTTCCAGAGCCAAAGTGGCCTCTTGAGTGCAGAGCATCTGAAGCAAGATACTCTGACCCGTGAGCATCTTGCCCACGCCACCCCCACCCCCCTGTTCCTGGAGCTTTCCAGCTCCCGTCCTGGCTTACTGGGGCCGGACAGGCTCTCCAGGCCTTCAGCCTTGCTGGCCTGCCCTCCCCAAGCCGCCGCCCGTCTGGACAACTCCAGCACCTCTCCCGAAGGAGTGCCTCCAGCCAGCCTGCCGTGTGTGACTGCAGGCAGGCCCTGGGGCCCCGGGCCATGTCCTGACGCGTGAGCCTCTGTCCGCAGGCGCCCTTCGACACCTCCCGCCTGGTCTTTCCACCCGTGCCGGCCTCCCTGGTGATAGCCTTCTTCTACCTGCTGTTACGGCTCATCCTGTCCGCGGCCGTGGCGGGCACCCTGTTTGCAGGGAGCCTCCTGGGCTACGTCATCTACGACCTGACCCACTACTACCTGCACTTCGGCTCCCCTCACAAGGGCTCCTACCTGTACCACCTGAAGGCCCACCACGTCAAGCACCACTTTGCACACCATCAGTCGGGTGAGGACCCACCGCGGCGCCCCCTCCCTCAGCTGCTCGTTTCCCATTTGACAGCCCCCGCTGAGCTTCCAGCCGGGGCCAGCCTTGGTTCCGGGGGTTCACAGTCAGAAAGGCAAGCCGGGGACGCCCATCCTAGGCCCTGGAGCAGGGGGCTGTACAGAGACAGAAAAACCAGGAAACCAATAAATAGCAAAGATCATTCCAGAACAGTGGTAAGTGCCAGCAAGAAAAGAAAGCAAGGTGACGGTCAGGAAACCATGTCAGTGGCAGGGGGTCCCACACATCGTTAATAAAATGCAGGCTGAGTTATAGATGGGATTTTACATTTTCTAGGAGCCACATTAACAAGTAAAACTAAACCAATGAAGTTAATATAAATAAGGTACTTTGTCAGGCCAAATATAACCAAAATATTATCATTTCAGCGTGTGATCGAACACTATTGGAATGCCCTGGGGGTCCAGTGGTCAGGACTCAGCAGTCTCACTGCTGTGGGCCAAGGTTCAGTCCCTGGCTGGCGAACTGGGATCCCACGAGCTGTGCAGCGTGGCTAAAAAGATTTTTAATGAGAGATTTGACATTCTTTCCTTCTGTTAAGTCTTTGATATCTGGTGTGTATCTTGCACTTACAAGCTCATCTCCATTCAAGGGCTAAATCTCCATTGGAAATACTTCATCCACGTTTAGAATTTATAAAATCGACAGTCAAAAAAGTAGATTCACATACATGAATTGCTCCAAGTGTGCCTATCGGTTTTCCAATAACTAAACCAAGTTTAGGTTTTTACACTGGAATGTAAGTTAATTATTAATAAAATTAAATAAAATTAGTAATTCAGTCCCACTGTAGCCCAGGGCCACATTTCCAATGCTCAGGAGTCACATGGGTTAGTGCCCACCCTGCTGGGCAGCAGAAAGCTAGCTGAAGTGGTCTAGGAAGGAGTCACTACACAGACACCATTAGAGCTGAGGCCTAAATTAGGAGAAGCCAGCGTCTGACGTCTTGAGAAACAGCATCCCTGGAGCAACAGGTCTGAAGCCTTGAAGCAGGAATGAACTTTGCATCTTCAGAGAGAAGGAGGCCGACTGGGCTGTGGGGGAGAGAGAGGAAGAGGCATGCAGCGCCAGGCTCTCCCAGGAAGGCAGTCCAGATAAGAGCCTTGGGGTTATTGCCACAGCATCCCTGGGAGCCTGGGCACACTGGTACCCTGCTCCTGATCACTGCCAGGATGGCCCCGGGAGTTGGGAAGGTCGTCAGGGGTGATGCTGAAACTTGCCCACGTGCTCACCCCGCCTGGGCTCCCTCCGCAGATCCCACTCCTTCAAGAGCGCCTCACCTTCTCCCGTTTGTCTCCCGCCCTAGGGTTCGGCATCAGCAGTAAACTCTGGGATCACTTTTTCCACACCCTCACTCCGGAAGAGCCCCACCTGAAGACGCAGTGACTTCGCCCCGCCCCGCCCTCAGCCCTGCCTTGGCCGCTACCCCAGTCCACCCCACCCAGATCCTGCAAGGAAGGTTTGCTTAGCCAGACAGCGCAGGTTTTGTCCAGCCCTCAGGCTCGGTGGAGGGTCCTGGGGAGACCCTGACCAAGGATGACCCTGAGCCTGCCCTCCTGACCCGGCGCAGGAAGGCCCCGTCTGCTGGGTGGCCTAAGAGCCCTCGGGGACCAGCTCTTCCCTGGAGCACCCCAGCCTCTCTGCCAGCACCCGCCCAGAGCCCCAGCCCCCAGGACTGCTCCAGGAGCTAGCTGGCGGGGACGTCCCTGAGGGGAGTGACGGCAACTGACCCCTGGGCCCAGGCCTGTGTCCTCACATCTTGGGCTCCCTGGGAGCTGCCCCCGCCGCCCTGGAGCTGCTGCATGCACAGCGAAGAGGGGGTCTGCGGGGCCCACCTTCCTTTCCTAGAGAGGGTTCAGCAGTTCTGGACTGGAGAACACGGAGATGGATGAAGCGCTTTCAGAAGAGAAAGCATGAAGCCTCTCGCGGCCCACAGCCAATCCTGGGGTGATGCCTCTGTCCCTGCCAATGACCAGCGCCAGCTGTGCCACCAGGTGCCTTGGGCAGAGACACCTCCAGCGTCCACACACTGGCCTTCACCTTCTGTGCAGGTGGTCTCAAGGCTGGAGGGAGCCGGCAGCCCTCTCTTTAGGAACCTGCTCTCCCATCTCTCCTGGCCTCCAGAATCACAAAGCTTTTCCCCCAAAGGAGGTTAAACACCTCTCCGTGCGTGGGAACCCTCTCCCGTCCCCAGGCGTTCTCAGCCTCCCCTTGGCATAGGTGGGCCCCTGCCCGCATCACTCAGGACCCTTCCAGCCGGTGCCTCCTCGACCCGAGAAGGAGCCTTGACACGGTGCCTTATCTCCCAGAAACCCCGCCTCAGCCTGGTGGTGTGTTCCCACCCTTTCCTCCTGGTAACCAAAACCCTCGATGCCCATAAGAGGGTCTTATTTATAAACTATATAAATACCCTTAGTTGGGCCCTGGACCAAGTAGCTGCTCAGATTGCCCTTTCTAATCCTACATGTCAAGCTTATGTAAAAAAAAAAAAAAAAATTTTTTTTTGGTCTTAGTTTTGTTCCTTCTTACCCACAAACCATTACTACTTGAAACTCAATGTGTGTAAAGGTTAAAGGGAAGCAGTTGGACCGATCCTGTGATTTGTACTGTTTACTGCGGAGTTATTTAAAGATTTTGGAATAAATATGCAAACTACCATTGTGAAATAAAAGTGTAAATAAATTGTATATTTTGAAAAATAAAAACATTGGAAAAGAAACTACCAAAAATGAGGTGCTACTTATTGATGGCAACTCACAGACTTGATCAAGGCCAAGGAGGCGCAGAAGAGTGGGAGGCGGGTGGCCAAGTCCCGCAGGAAGGAGTATTGATCACTGACCAATCTGTGCAGATTTGCTGGGGTATCGTGATGATAAAAAGCAGACCAACCCTTGTCTTACTGGGTTTCGTTACTGTTTTCCAAGTCCTCCTCACTCAAGGTCCAAGTCAGTAGTTTGGCAGAGGTGGGCTCTGGATTTGCCTGCCCAAGCATGCAGAGGCAAAACTGAAAGCAGAGACAAGCTGATGCTGGTAAGACTCTGGCCCATGGAGGGACACCCGCTCCCAGCCTGAAGGTTAAGGCCACCTGACTGAGCCTCAAGCTCAAGCTGCTGGACCCGGGCAGTCCAAGCAGCAGAAGTCTAACCTCCATTCCCTAGAACGTGCTGTGAATCCAACCACCAGGCATCATTCCCCAGGGAAAGGAGAAAACCAACTAGTTGTAAATACGGGAGTTCACTGGAGACAGGTCTGAGATGAGCATGTTTGAGCAAAAAGTTAATTGGAGGAAAAAAACAAAAGCCTTCTTTAAAGAGATTGAAACAGAACTAGGAAGAAATACCAAAATAAATGTGAGTTTGTAGCATGGTAATAAGAAGATTTGGGGAGTGGGAAAGCCAATCTGTTAATGAAAAGGGCCACTCAGTGAATATTAGAGTCTCCCAGAGCTTCCTGCTGTGCCTGCTACAACTTTCCAGGGGGGTAGGAACTTCCACAAGGCCTTGGGAAGAAAGAGAATGAGCCCCACCCTACAGGGGAGACTAATACAGCAAGTGCCCTTAACCGCAAGTCAGTTGGCACTCATAGTGTGGTCCACTACTCAGTGATCATCTGCTAGAGTTAAAAATTCTATCTTCAAGTGCAAGAGACCTAAGGAGGGGTCAAAGATTTGATGCTAAAGCCAGCAGGGGACATTATCAAGATGCCAACACGTGTAGCGTGATGGAAAAGCCTGAAACTTGGAGCATGTGATTTTTTTCTCTGCCTTTGAACTTTGTACTATTTCTAATTGTGCCCAGCACAAAGCCCATCTCATAACAGGCCCCAGTAAATGTTAGTCTCGTCTCTGTCACTTCCCTGGTGGCTTAGGCAGTAAAGAATCCGCCTGCAAGGCAGGAGACCCCGGTTTGATCCCTGGGTTGGGAAGATCTCCTGGAGAAAGGCATGGCTATCCGCTCCAGTATTCTTGCCTGGAGAATTCCAGGGGCAGAGGAGCCTGGTAGGCTGTAGCCCATGGGTTCGCAAAGTCAGACAGGACAGAGCTATTCACTTATTTTGTCTCTGCCAGATCTCAGTTCGGGCTTTGGTTTTCCACCTGTCCCCTGGCCTATGCTGCCCCCTGATGACAGCATGAGGCTCTGCGCTCTTGTGACTGGGAATCGGTGATTGTAAATTTTCATCTCTTTTCCACCTTACCTGTTCTCGTAACTTATTATTTTATCTCATCTACTACTTTTGAGATAAAGCTGGAACTATATATATGGACTTTCCAGTTCTAATTTTCTATAAAGATATGATGGCTGCAAAAAATTGATAGAGATTTCTTTACAGAGAAGTAATAACAGCATAATGAATAACTTACCAATTAAGGATGCTATGGGATGAATGTGAAATTTGGAAAATGCCAAGACTGTCATCTGCTCTCCATCTGAGACACCTTATCATCTTATATCCAGGGGAAAGGAGTGATGAGAAAAAGAAGAAAAAATATCGTTTTGATGAAAACATAAAGGTGGGAGCCTGTCTTCATTAAGGTTCCCTAAAAAGCAAATCTTAAAACAAGAATATAGATGCAAGTGGCTTATTTAGAAGGCAATTGAAAAAATAAGGAGTTATAGACATGGAAGGATTAGAATGTGGGGGAGAATTACAAGTGGTGAAGGCTGGCATCCTTGCCTTATTCCTGATCTTGGAGGAAAAGCATTCAGTTTTGTAGCATTGAGTATGATGTTAGCTGAGAGTATAATACACGGCCTTAGTTATACTGAGATAATTTCCTCCTATTCCTAATTTGTTGACAGTTTTTATCATTAAAGAGTGTTGAATTTTGTGAAATGCTTTTTCTGCACCTATTGAGACAATCATATGTTTTTATCCTTTATTCTGTTAATGTGGTGTGTCACATTAACTGATTTTCATATGTTACCATTCTTGCATCCCATAAATAAATCCCACTTGCTTATGGTGTATGATCCTTTTAATGTGTTGTTGGATTTGTTAGTATTTTGTTGTGCATTGTTGTATCTATATTCGTCAGGGATACTGGCCTGTAATTGTCTTAAGTCTTTGTCTGGTTTTGGTATCAGGGTAATGCTGAGTTTATAAAATGCGCTTCAGAGTGTTCTTTCTTCTTCACTATTTTGCTAGAGTTTAAGTAGGATTGACGTTAATTCATTTTTAAATGTTTGGTAGAATTCACGAGTGAAGCCATTTGGCCCTGGGCTTTTCTTTGTTGGGAGGTTTTTAATTACTGATTCAGTCTCCATTATTAATTATGATGGTGGTGGTTTAGTTGCTAAGTTGTGCCCAACTCTTGCGACGCCATGGACTGTAGCCCACCAGACTCCTCTGTTCTTGGGATTCTCCAGGCAAGAATACTGGAGTGGGTTGCCGTTTCCTTCTACAGGAAATCTTCCTGACACAGGGATCCAACCCAGGTCTCCAGTATTATAGGCAGATTCTTTACCAACTGAGCAAGCAGGTTCAGAATTTCTATTCTTCATTATTTAGTCCTAGGAGGCTGTATATTTTAGGAATTTACCTGTTTCTTCTAGTTTACACAGTCTGTTGGCATATAACTGATCATCAGAGTCTCTCTGTGTCTTTTTTTTTTTGTCTGTGCTGTGGAATTTTAGTTTGCCATCCAGGGATCGAACCCAGGCCCATGGCAGTGAAAACTAGACCACCAGGGAATTCCTCATTACAGTGTCTTTTGATTCTTTTTTATTTCTGTGATATCAGTTGTAGTGTCTTTTACTGATGATTCTTTTTATTTAAATTTCTCTTTTTTCCCCTTAATGTAGCTAAGGGTTTGTAGAGTTTATCTTTAAAAAATAAACTCCATTTCATGTTTTTTCTATTATTTTTCTATGTCATTTATTTCTACTCTTTGTTATTTCCTTTCTTCTGCTAGCCTTGGGCTTAGTTTGTTCTTATTTTTCTGGTTCCTTGAAGTGTAAAGTTTGGTTGTTTGAGATCGTTCTCCTTTTCTTAATTAATTTTTGGCTGCCCTGGATTTTCCTCACTGCGTGTGGGCTTTCTCCAGTTGTGGTGAGAAAGTGAAAGTGAAAGTGACAGTTGCTTAGTTGTGTCGGACTCTCTGTGACCCCGTGGACTAGACAGTCCTTGGGATTCTCCAGGCCAGAACACTGGAGTGGGTAGCCTAGCCCTTCTCCAACGGATCTTCCCGACCCAGGGATTGAACCAGGGTCTCCCGCACTGCAGGCGGATTCTTTACCAGCTGAGCCCCCAGGGGTGCCCAGCGCGGTGAGCGGGGCTGTTCACTGTGGCGTCTTGGCTTTCCTCGACGGTGGCCTCTCTGCTCGCAGAGCACGGGCTCCAGGGCCCGTGGCTCAGTGGCTGTGTGCAGGCTTGGTTGCCTCGTGGCA